TGTGTGTGTGTGTGTGTGTGTGTGTGTGTGTGTGTGTACTCATTCATGAATGCACAGGTACCCAAAGAGGCCAGCAGAAGGTGTCAGATAACTTGGACCTAGAGTTATATATAGTCAGTTGTAGGAACTGAACTCAGGTCCTCTGGGAGAGTTGCAAATGCTCTTAACCACTGAGCCACCTCTCTAGCCCCTTAAACCTTTAATTTTGAGGTAGTTTGAGTGTGAGAAAAGTTGCTGAATAGAATTAGGTTGTTGTAGATCCTTTGCTTGAGCCTGTGGGACAGAATGTAACAGAGTCATAATAATGTTATCAAAGCTAAGAGATACCCAGTTTCTTCAAAAGTAACAGTCTTTCTGTTGGGGGTTCAGATAGTGTAACTTCCAAGTTGACTGTTTGGCAGAGTTCTGGAGTTTAGAAATCAGACTCATGCTGACCTCACAGATGTGCTCACCCTTGATGCAGAGCTGAGCCCTGTGTGTGGCTCCATCCCAGATCCTGATTTCACCCCTGCAGCAGCAAATATATCTCCCAACTTATCTCTCATTGGCCCCAACCCAGCTAACACACTCCAGGAGTAACTTCTCATGCCATTGTGAAGTACCCCTAGCAACCCCAGCATACAGGGGCCAACACAGCTTGGGGCTACCAGGTAAGACTTTCTCAACAGGATGAAAAAGGCTATCTTTGAGATACTCAAAAATTGTGAGCAGTCACATCACCAGGCAGAAACTACAGCTAAGTCTCTGAAGGCATCTCCTCTGTGTCCCAGCTCAGCTCCAGCTTTGTGGAGCACTGGCCCAGCAGGGGACAGGGTTTCATAAACTTGGTTCAGTCCTGTCCTCCTCTTCTCCATTCTCTTCTGGGAGAACCACCTGCTAACTGTTGCCCTTCAGCCCCTAAGGTCCATCTCAGGCCTCTCTCCCCACCCCCTGCCACTTGACTCTGGCCTGTCGGTCTCTCTCCATACTTCTCACTCAAGACCCCCTCTTCCCAAAGTCAGCAGACATCTTGAAGAAGCTGAGTCAATTTCAGTAACATCAAGCACTGATTACCACACTTCCCATACCCTCCCAGGTCTCTGGGACAATCTCTTGGTTTCCTCTTAACTTTTTGTGCCCCCTTTTCTACCTCTGTGCTGAAGATCTTCCATGGCTAAGTGCTCATCAAATACTGAACTTGCTCAGGCTTCAGACCTGTAGTCCCATATCCCAGTTCACCTCTGCCTTATCCAGACCTCCTCAGGGGATGCCTCAACCCCCTCTTACTGCTTCTCCTTCAACCGCAGCTTCAAGGCGATCTGAGATCTCATCTCACTCACACACTCCATTACACAGAAAATGACTGAATCATTCAGATTTTGGAAACTCCTACACAGAAGCCATACATAGGTCTAGGTGGGTAAAGAAGCCCCATAGAGACCACATTCTAATAAATGTGGCTGTCATACATTTTAATATACATTCCTTTTAGTCAATGAGAGGTTAAAAAAATATACATTCCTTTTTTCTAGTGATTTCTTGTGTGGTGGTTTGAATAAGAATGGCCCCCATGGGCTGGAATTGTTTTGGAAGGATTAGGAGGTATGGTCTTGTTGGAGGAGGTATGACACTGGGGGTGAAATTTGAAGTTTCAAAAGCCCATGTGATTCCCAGTTAGCTCTCTGTCTCTTGCTTGTGGACCAAGATGTAAGTTCTCACATACTGCTCCAGCGCCGGGCATGCCTGCTGGCTGCCATGCTACCTGCCATGATGGTCATGATAGTCAGTCAGCCCACTAAAACCAAACCCCAAATTCTCCTACAGCCACTGGAGAAGTCACCAAAATATTCAGCTAGACTGTTCAAGAGTCATTCAGCACTTGAGGCAAATTAGAAATGTGAAAGGTTAAGTGGGCAACTTGGGAGCTGATAGGACTCAAAAAGATGGTAGTTGTGTACTTGTTCTTTACAACAACAAAGAACCATTTCTCAATGGATCATAGAAATGTCTAGAGCAGTGGCTCTCAACCTTCCCAATGCTGAGACCCTTTAATACAGTTCCTCATGCTGTGGTGACCCCCAACCATAAAATTACTTCATTACTACTTCATAACTGTAATTTTGTTACTACTATGAATTGTAATGTAAATGTCTGATACGCAGGATATCTAATATTTGACCTCCCAAAAGGGTTGCAACTCCCAGGCTGAGAACCTCTGGTTTAGACAATGGGCTAGACCCAGAAGAGACTTCCTAAAGTTTCATCCACATTAATGGTTGCTGTTTGGGATCTGCTCCCTGTCTAATCTCGAAGTAGCTTTCTCAATCTGGTGGGACCATTACACCTAAGATGTGTGATTTGTAAGAGGCACTGAACACAGCACCCCTTCCAGCTGACACTCTCACCAGAAAGGACGTGATTCTTCTTCACAACCACAGACTGCACATCACCAGCTGATGCTTTAGAAGCTGAGGGTATGTATGGCCTCATCCACCACACCACTTTCCCTCCAACTGAACAAAGATGTGTTTGAGCCAAGTTTTGATTTAAAATAGAGTCTGAAACCTAATATGTGCATGGCCTCACTCAGCAAATACAATGGAAGCTCAGCTCTTGTTACCATATTATTCTACGGCTCCGTCTGCTTCTTTCACAGAACTGATAAGAGCCAATTGTAGTGAGAACTATGGTTTCTTTTAAAACTCAGTTATATGAATATGCTTTTGTTGTAATCCCAGGTGTGAGATAAGAGGTTGTGTCACAGCAGGTGATTATGATTTGCCTTGTGCACTAGCCGGGGTGTGATTTCTTTGCCAGCTGCAGATAGTTTAATTCTGGGGACTCTGTAGAGGGTATAATTGAGAAAGCCCCAATACAGCCTGAGGTGGCTGCTGCCCCCCCCTGCTGCTGCTCTCGATGCTACTGGTCCATTGCTGGATTGCTATTTGGAGATAGTCTGATGACGAATATTGGATTTGCCCCTAATCAGCAGGAAGTTGTCTAAAGAGGTCTGTGCCCTCTCTGTTCCTTCTAAACTTCTTTCTTTCCTACCTAGTGTGAGGAGGTTGGAAAGGATTAGGGTGAATGGTAGAATAAGGGTTGTAAGGGATGTAAAGGTATAAGAACCCAATAAAATATCTAATAATAAATAAATATGCCAACAGCCAATGCTCAATGCCTCTGTGACATTGACTGACAACTCAGGACAGAGAGGAGGGCTCTGCCCAGGTTCCTGGAGCCCGGCCCATACTTGTACTGTAGAGTACCCAACACTCCCTCCACCTCAGACCATTCTCTATCCCACCTGTGCCCACAAGGAGGGAGACCTCATGGGACATCAATCTGTTCCCTAGGCCCTGAGCTCCTACCTGGGACTGGCAAATGGGTGTTCAGCTGGAGATGGACGGGCACAGTGTTGGGTCAGCACATCTTCTTCTCTTAAGCAGCTGGCAGGTGGCGTGCATACTCAACCAAACCATGAGAAACAGTGCACTAGAGAAAAGTCATCTACTGCTTGGAGACTGAGCCTCGTGGCCCCCCTGGCTACCTAAAGGACGCAGAACACCAAGTGCATATCAGCTATGTTTTATTATATATCTCTTGATCGCCAGAACCTAAACAGAAGGTTCTGCTATAAAACAGAGAAAGTAGGAAATAAAAAGAAAGCAGCCACAAGATTAAATGCTGGAGTACAGATGAGGGGGATGCAGGGCCTGCCTGGGGTGAAGGTGCATGGTCACTGGGCCCAGAGCACTGAGCATGAGCCCAGAGAACTGAGCCCAGTGATGGCAGCAAAATCAGGGCATGGGTAGTCCTGAGACCCGGGGATGCAGAGGAGTTCCATTCGGATCCACCCAGTGGATCACCAGTCCAGGTTGCACCAACAGGCTCCTTCCTCAGCATCTTCAGGTTAGAACAGCCTGCCCTACACACACACACACACACACACACACACACAGCATACATACTCACACACTTGCAAGCAGAGCTCCTGATGTCAGGGCTCTACCTCAGCTCAGCTACCAATTTCAGAATCAAGGTGTGTGCTTGTCTCCCTGGCAGACTGAGGAGGCCACTGCCCACACAGATGTTTAGCAGCTTGAGGCCCCAGCAGGGGGAACGACCTGCCAGACACTGGACATGAGGGAAAGTTTCACGGAGACCTGCAGGTGGTAGGCTCAGTCAGGGAGGCACAGAAACCAGCTCTGAGACCAGCTCCGCAAGGTTAGCTCTGCCCCTCAGTAATGAGTCCAAGAGGAAGCACAGTGCTAGCAGGCTAGTGCCCAGCAGGTCCCCCAGGCCTGTGAGGTAGGGGATACAGTGGTTGTCAGGATCCAGGGCTTGGTGCCAGGTCAGTCGAACCATCACTTCTGCCAGGTACAGCAGGATTACCACCTGCCAGAAGAGCAGAGAGATGGAAGACACAATCAGAAGATCAAGGACAACTAATCGTACCAGCTGGTTTCCAAGGACACTGCCAAGGTGGATGGACCAACCCCAGCATGTTCCTTTTCTCCAGCTTTGCTTGGGGCCTGCAGTGTTTTGGTCATGTGCTGGAAGCTTGGCTCCCACTGTGGCATTGAGGTAGGGGGCCTTTCTGAGCTGAGGCCTAGTGAGAAATGGGAAGGTTGTGAATAAACTCTTAATCCTTGAAGGAGTGGACCAAGTCCCTGGGTTCTCAAAATAGGTCATTAAGGAGCAAGGCTGGGCCACTGCTGCTGACTGGCTTTCTTGTGCATACTCATGGCTGGCTCCCTGTCCACTTTCCCATGTCTGTCACGTGCTGGCTGGATCCCCAACAAATTTAAGGGTAAGCAAATCAACTTCATTACCCAGCAACACATGGGCTGATTGTGATCTAAAGAAGGCTCTGGACTCAACCATCATATGCCTTTCCAAGCAGCTGGGTCCTGCCCTGGCCTCTGAAGTGCTACAGGGACCTGCTGCCACTCACTAGTCAGGGCCCTCCCTGCTTGAACTCGTCCCTCTTGGGAGGTTTGGTGAGTCCCTCAGGAAGCTTCCAAGAAGCAATCCACATGGCCCTGCTCAGGTCCCACAGTCCCTACAGTCTTCATTAGTCAGGCCCTGCCTTGTCCCTTCTCCCTAAGTAAGCTTGGACTTGCCTGAGTGTAGAGACAAAGAAACACTTCAGTGAATCCTCCTGAAACTGCCATAGTGTTTATTGGCCTCTCTACTGACACTCTAGGCCACCAGGGACATTAGCCAGCTGGTGTCTCAGCAGTGCTGAGGACCCCCTCCTCAAAGCAGAAGGAGCTTAATCTCTCCCACTGTCCACCTGCCATCCCACTGGAAGGAAAACTGTATACATCAATCATCCACCTGCCATCCTGCCTGGAGGAAGACTACATGTGCCCTTAAGCACCATGCAGAGCAGGGGCTTCTGTGAGGGGAGGACAGATGGCTCAGCCTCCTTTGTAGAGCACAGTTCGTCCAGAGCTGCTCCTCCAGCATTGTGTGGCATGTGGAGTGCATTGCAAAGTGAATGAAGTGTTCAGTGTGAGGTGCAGTCATGCAACATGCAGTTGCAGTGGAGACATGGTTCGAGGTGTATGGCACTTAGCAGTGACCTCTGTCTAGTCCATGCCAATGGGCTTGAGCAAGTTGGCTGGATCTTTGTATGACGGGAACTGTATTCAGTACCACTGATGTGGGCTGAGAAGACCTGAAGGCTGTGTGTCTCTGGTGACAGTGGTGTCACCCTCACCTGGATCATGCCTGCCACCAGGTACAGCAACATGAAGGTCTTGCTGCTTGTCACTGACTGGCCTTCCACCAGGCAGATGAGGTAGAAGAAAATCAGGTGTCCTGGGACCACCAGAAAGAGCAGGACTCGTGCTGACACAGAATTGATTTCTAGAAGGAACGGAACCAAGAGGGTCACAAAACCTACCTACTTGCAGAGGCCATCTTGGCAAAGAAGATTCCCCAACGAGGGACCCAAGTTTCTTCACCTACTAACACTCTATTAAGTGGGAACTCAGTCCTGGCCTTCCCTTCTTTCAAGGAGCTGACATTTGAGGGAAGAGATCAGAATCATGTAAGTGGCCAAACAGAGGTCATTTCAAATGGTAAGAAATACTAAAAGACAGACAGACAGACAGACAGACAGACAGACAGACAGACAAAGATAAAAATAATCTCAGACCAGCAAGTGTGTATAAGTGGGAGAAGCTCTCTTGAAGATCCCTGGATAGAGGGGACATAGGCTGAAGTCTGACACTGGTGTGGAGGAGAGACTGGGGAGTGTGACATGCTTGCAGGGCTCCTGGGTAGCCCCTCCAACCTCAGCCCTGTCCATGAAGCTGGGGCATCAGTGAGCTCTGAGCTCTGCTTTCCTCTGCTCTCTGAGTTTAAGGATCCCTAGAGAGTGGACTTGACCCCACCCAGACCCATCAGTGAAAAACTTAGAAATTACAGCAAGTGAATGTGGCCCCCTTCTTAAACACAGTCGTACAGTAAAAGTCATCGCAATCATCCCGAAACAGCCAGGAAAAGGCAGGAGATCACAAGTCAAACTCAGAAACTCCATCATCAACAAAATGAGCTAAAGGAGCCAGTGGACTAAGTGTGTTTGGTTGGTTTTGGTTGTAAGGACAGAATGTAGCTCAGTGACAGTGCATTTGCTGAGCATGTTCAAGGCCCTGAGGTTCCATCCCCAGCCTCACAGAAACCATCTTTGGTAGTGGAAGGGCAAAGAGGAGCAGGATGGCCTTCAACTTCTGATTCTCCTGCCCCCACCTCCTGAGTATTGGGATTTCAGGTGAGCACTATCATGTCCACTTTAACATGGTGCTGGGCCTTGAACACAGTCAACCGAGCTACATTCCCAGCCAACTGCGTGTGTGTGTGTGTGTCTCTGTGTGTGTGTGTCTGTGTCTGTGTGTGTCTGTGTGTGTGATCCTCAAGAGCTGTTTAGTTTTTTAGACAGTGTCTCTTACTGACTAGCCTGAAGCTCACCTGTGGGCTGAAGCTTGCTGGCCAGTAAGCCCCAGTAATTCACTCGGAGTCACTTCCCAGTACTGGGGTCACAAATGGACCATGCCTGTTCTTTGCTGTTGTTTTTGATTTGTAATGTGGGTTCTGGGAATTGAACTTGGATCCTTACACCTGTACAGCAAGCCTGTTCTCCTGACCCAGGCATCTCCTCATCTTCAACTTTTCTTTTTTTAAAGGCATGCAAACAAAGCCTAGAAGGGAAGCCGTGGAGTGGGTGAATACCCCCGAATACACAGCTTTTAGGAGCACATGGCAAGTGGGGCAGCTGAACTAAACACTCAAGAAAATGTGTAGGAAAACCAAGTGTGAACAGTAAGAATTAAGCAAAATGTGTGCTACATAAATAACAGAAAACTGTTTTCCAGTTTGTGAATGGCATTGGAAACCATGGGAGCGTGCACATGTGGTCACCACTACTTTCAAAGTAGAGAGCACTGCCACCTGAGCCCAGGGATTCAAGACAAGCCTGGGCAGCATACTGAGACCCACTGCAAACATAAAAACAAGGGGTTGGGGATTAAGAAGGTCATGTGGCCTCATCAGATAGCATACTGACCTGAAGAGCAGAAAATGAAGCAAGGGTTAGGCCAGAATCTTTTCATCTGGACAGGAAGGACCCCAGGTGTGCTCCACATATGCAGAAAGGTGGAAATGCGGCTGGTCTGAATGGCCACCAGGTTGCCACCAACACCTGTGAGGAGAGAGGGTGTGGGAAGCTCAACCTCTGGCTTCTAGCTCTTCTGGTATACTGCTTTTTTTCAGGATGGTGTCCCTGATTGGTGCAGCCATTTCTTAGCTCCTCTTTCCTTGCCACTCAGATTTGCTGGGCACCCAGTGAAGGGTGTCTTCAGGAAGACTTAAGAGGTTGAAGAGTGGTGTATAAAACAGCAGGACCCAAGAGCCCAGATGTTCCCAGATGATCCGAGCATGTTCACCAGCATGGCCCTGGAATCCTGAGACATCCTGGTGAGGATGTGATTCCTGCAGGACAGGATGGTCTAGCTGTCCACAGCCTTCTCTTGGGAGCTGGCAGAGGACAGGCATGCCCCTGATAGGAGTCCACAGCCTAGCAACAACCTTCCCTAGCTAGCCAGGGACACCCAGGGTCTGAGATCAGTCACATGAGTGGCCCCAGTGAGAAAGACTCTGCAGGCAGAGGATAGCGGACATTTACTTCTCTTGAGTATGGACAACTTTAAAAAGAAGAAGGGAAAGAAGAAGGAAAAGAAATTCTCTGTTTATAGATTCAGCTCTTCACCCTAATTCCCAACCTCCCTTAATCTGTTGGCTCCCTGGTAACCAGAATCCAGCTTCCCACGGCCACCATTGGCAGGAAGGACATGGCAGGCAGCACTTCCTTTAGGCTAGGAATGGTCTCCAGCTAGCCCCAGCCCCATTTGCTGACATCTCTGAGCAGCTAGGAGAGGAGTCAGGGTGTCAGCACCCCAAATACTGCAGACCAATGACAGTAAGGCAGTGGGAGGAACCGAGTCCATACAGGACAGTGGGGACATGTGGGGCTGAGTGCCACACAGGTTGTGCTGGTTGCTGCCAGCCCCAGAGAGTAAACCCACTACTGTCATGGGCTTTATTTTTAAAGTGAAGACAGAAATCTAGAGTGTCATGTGTAAATGTCTAAATTTAATGTCACCGATAACTCTAAAACAAATTAGGAAAACCTGGCCTAGGCTGAGGTAGAAAGATCATCACACGGGTTCAAGGTCAACCTGTACTACCCAGAGTTCCAGGGTGCTCTGATATACACAGTGAGACCCTGTCCAAAGCAAATTGATGTGCTTTGTTCCCCATATGCTATGGGGTCCCTTCAGAGCCTTTGCATTAGAGAAAATCAAACCTAACAGAACCTGTAGGCTGTGCAGGCTCAGCTTGCCCAATCACCTCAGAACCTGAGTCTGTACACTGGTGTTCGGTCCCTACCCAGCCCAGGGTCCCCAAGAGGAACCCCACCTACCACTTACCACAGATGACTGGAGTCAGGACAGCCATGCCTTTAAATTTATGTTTTGAAATGGTTTTGCTCAGGATGAGGCCTCCGAAACTGGGGAGAGAACGGAGTTGACATTAGAGTGGCCAGGCCAAGTGCCCACTGGCCACCTTCCTGGGTTTAGAAAATACCATCCCTTCCCTGCACAGAATGTCTGCTGCAACCACAGAATGGACTGCAGTTTTCTACTAGAGAACACGGAGGGACCAACCCTACAGCCCTCTGGGTCCCACCAGCAGCTGTGATGGGACAGTGACCAGGGTGAGAACTATTTCCCCGGCCCCAGGATGAGGGACCCAGATGCCCACTGTGCTGGGTGGCTTTATGTCAACCTGATGCAAACCTACACATATCTGGGAAGAAGGAACCTTCATTAAGTACATGTCTCCATCAGACTGGCCTGAAGGCAAGTCTGTGATGTGTGTTTTCTTGATTGATGACTGATGCAGGAGGGCCCAGCCCACTGTAGGTACTGCCACTGCTACAGGTGATCTTAGGGTATATAAGAAAGCAACCTGAGCAAGCCATGGGGACCAAGCCAGTAAATAGCATTCTTCCGTGGCTCCTGCTTTAGTGTTTGAGTTCAGAGTCCTGTTTTGAGCTCCTGGCTAGACTTCCCTTAGCAATAGACTCTTAAGTTGTAAGCTGATATAATCCCTTTCTTCCCCAAGTCGTTTTTGGTTATGGTGTTTTATCACAGCAATAGTGTGGTAGTTTGAATATGCTTAGCCCATGGAAAGTGACACTATTAGGGGGTGTGGCTTTTTTGGAGGGAATGAGTCACTACAGTGGTGGGCTTAGCGGTCCTATACTCAAGCTCCACCCAGCGCAGAAGAACCAGTTTTCTCCTGGCTGTCTTCCAATCGAGATGGGGGAATTCTCAGCTCCTCCAGCACCATGTCTGCCTGGACACTGCCATGCTTCCTGCCTTGATAATAATGAACTGAACCTCTGAACCTGTAAGCCAGCCCCAATTAAATGTTGTTCTTTATCAGAGTTTCCTTGGTCATGGTGTCTCTTCACAGCAATGGAAACCCTAACTAAGACAAATTGTAACCCTAAGGACACCTGCACAGGTGTCTCATATTGTCAGTATACTGTAGCACCAAGACAGGGTGTGGAGCTGAACTGTGCATTTCTCTCTTGCTCTGCCCAGCTTCAGTCCCCCCGGCTGCCAGTACTTCTGGACTCTGCCTCAGAAGAGTGGATGAGGCCTAGGTAAGAGGATCAGAGTGTACAGTGTACGCAGCTCACTCACACCAGAACACAGGCGTGGTGGTGAGGTCATGCCAGCACCTGTCAGTCTCCATTTGAGTGTTCCAGGGATCTTGGGAGGGAGGAGATTGAGCAACTTGGCTGGATTAAGAAACACCTATTGATTGCTGGGGCATACCTCTGGCTGTGCCACCGGGTATGTGTCCCTAGGAGCACACCCTGCCCTGGTCTTTCCTTCTGTGCCCTTCCCTAGGCCTTGTGGCCTCCATGATGCAGACAGCTTTCTACACACACAGACTCATCTCCACGTTCTGCCTAGCAGCACAGGGGCCAACCAACCATGCTGAACCCTCTGAAACCACGAGCAAATCAGTTCTTCTCCTCCAGGTTGTTTCTGTCATGTGTTTTTGTCAGTGACACGAACAGCAATCACAAGGAAAACTAGCACCAGAGACGCAAAGCCTCCCATGTGACCAAACCTGACCATGGCTCTGAGCTCTTTGGAATTGGTGTGGGGAGGAAGTTGGAAAAATCTGGAGATCTGGGCTAGGGAAGCTTAGAACGTTCTAGTGGAATTAGAGATCAGAGTGGCAACAGAGACTTGGACAATGAAGGCCTGGCACCTGTGGGGCTTCAGACAGTAATGAGGGTGCCAAAGGGGAACTGATCTAGGAGCCATTCATGATATATTCTGGCAAAGAATTTTGTAACAATATTTCACTATGAATAGGAGTGACTCACAGGCCCACTCCTAGCTGAGAAGTCAAAGGCATCAATGGTGCTGGGGAAGGAAGGTCAGTTTTCTTCCAGGCAGGCCCTGGTAGATGGCCTATGCTCCCACGGGCAGCCCCTGCAGCCACGTGCATGTGGGCGACAGTAAAGGGACTCAGTAGGATATCTAAAGATAGATATAACTACCTCTCTGTCTGTCGGCCTGTCTGTCTGTCATCCATAGCTGTCATTAATAGCTACCTTGCCATGTCACAGTCTTACTCTGGTAGTCTACTATGTTTTCTCTGAACCACTGTGTTTTGGGAGCATACAACTTGTTTTTGACTTACAGAGTCTAGAGTCTCAGAAGAGACCTCGAGTTTAGATGGCTGGATAATGTGGAGACTGTTAGCACCATGGGGATGCTTGCCACTAACCCGTACACATTTTGCGCTGTAAGATAGAGGTGAGCTTTTGGGAGAGACAGTGGGATGTTATGGTTTGAAGTGACTTGTCTGTGTGCCAACTTGATAAGGGGTGGATTGTGATGGCTATTTTTTTTTAAAGGTCTCATTATGTAGCCCTAGACAACCTTGAACTCATATAGAGCAGGCTTGGCCTCAGATTCACAGAGATCCCCCTGCCTCTGTCTCCAGAATGCTGGGATTGAAGGTGTATGACGCCTTGCCTGGGCTGTAATGGTTAATTTCACCTGCTTGCTTGACAGATTTAGAGTCATTAAGTGATCAGCAGTACATGTGCCTGACAGGATATTTCCAGAAAGAGTTTGATGGTGACTGATTATTGGGGCTCTGACTTGATGGATGGATTAATCCCTTGATAGATTACGAATCTTTCTGTTGGGAAGTGGTGAAAGGCAGGAAGTATGGTTAGCTAGAAGAAGGAGGTCACTAGGGATGTGAATCCATGGAAGCCACATCTTGGCCTGGCCTCTTCCCATATCCTGAGCACCTCTGAAGTGAACGGTGCTTCACTGAGATGTGCTTCTGGGGCCATGGTCTATCCAAGAGCACATGGCCAAATGATCACAGACTGAACCCTCTGCAACAGAGAGAAAAGTAAGCCTTCCTTCCCCGAAGTTGTTTCTGACAGGCATTTCTGTCAGAGGTGAGGGACCATTGTTCCACGCTGCTCACCTGCTGATGATCATAGCTAGGATGATGGGAAACCACCCATACTTCAGGATCTTCATGATGGGCGGGTTCTGCTTGGCAATGAAGATCCACAGAGGGGTGAGAGCCAAGAAGCTGACGCAGACCAGAGGTGTCAGATACCATGTGTCTGAGGGAAAGCAGATTATTCATAGCTCAATGGGCAAGGCTGGCATATAGGAGCTGGTTGGAGTTTGGCCTTTCATAGGTGAGACATAAGTTGGGAACCAAGGGCTCTTGCCATTTAGAGGGGCTGTCCCACCATACCTGCCAGACAGCAACAATTAAGCAACTGGGAAAGCCCCTCTCTGTCCTGCCCCATCCCTGAACTTCTCTGACATCCTGGCAATTGTTGAGACCCTTGATCAGGTTTTCCGTTACCCAGTGTTATAATAAACAGCACTAGGACAGGGTATGAGCAGGTGCATGACAGCTCTCCATAAACCTGCTTAGAGGTCCAAAAAAACAGAAAACAAAAAACAAAACAAAACACCAGAAAAAAACAAAGAGGCAGTTACCAGGGCACATGGCCCCAGGGGTGAGATCAGGAGGAAGCTTTCTCCTAGCTAAGACGTTCTGTACTATTGTGGGATATGGATCAGGCTGGCCTGGTAGCCCCTCATTTCTCAGAGTCACCTCCAGCTGTGAGGTCAGAGCACCGACTACCCAGGGCCCGCCTCCGCTCTCGTCCAGCCTCTCTCTGACCCCACCTCCCACGTGTACACAGAGCTTGCTTAGAATCATCCTTGCATCTTGTTCCTGTTCTCTCGAGCAGTTTCAATGCTAGACGGCCATACATGGTGTGAGTCCCACTCTGCTCTGGGTGGCGTCTCTGAGTGTGGCGTCACCACCACCTCCTTATTCTCCACAGCCCACAACTTTCCCTTCATCTGCCACAGGTGCTCCAAGCTAGCTATAGACAAAATGCTTCATGGTAGGTATGGCCAGCTTCTGGACCATCCCCAGAGCTGGAGGGTATATCCCTGAGGCTCTAAGCAGGCCACTAACACTCAGGGACACAGTAGCCTGTGCAAGTGTAGCCTTACAAGATACTTGGGAAGGTGCCACGTCCAGGTTCTCCATAACTTCTGACAGGAGCCGTCCAGCCCCCACCTTACACTCATGCATCTTCCTGACAGCTCCTGTGTCATGTGGCATGTGTGAGCTAACTCACTTCCCAGTCACTGAAGACCTGTCTCCTGGGACTGGGCCTGCCATCTTCCTGAGCATAGTCAGTGATGTGAGGGGAGGAGGGTGGCATTCTTATTTGTTTTACAAATCAAAATGTAAATAATTAACTTCTATGCAAATCAGACTGGCCTAAAAGCACAACTAGGTCATCTTACCTGATTCCTGGGCTCCTCACTGTCACCTAAGAGGATAGTACAGGAATCGCTCCAGACTGGACAGCAGTGCCCCCGGTACAGTGGAGGCCATACTGTTTTATCTGTACCTGCTGCTTATTTCTCAAACCTCCAAACCCTTCCCACAGGGCACTGAGCTGTGCCAGACATTTACAACTGTAGACTTGAACTGCACGCGCACATATGCGTGCGTGTGCATGTGTGTGTGCGTGTGCATGTGTGTGGTATCTGCGCATGCCCCTCCCTAGAGCCTTCCCTACCTTTGTGGCTGTAGAAGAAGCTGCTCATCAGGGCCAGGATGGACAGGGTGATGATGTCTCCCAGGCTGGCTGCAATGGGCGTAGCGATGTTATCAGGGTTGACTCCAAACTTCCGAGCACCAATCACTATGCAGATCATTAGAATTCCTGCAGCGGGAGGAGGGGAGGCCCAGGGAGTAGTTTGTGGTGAGATGGCTTAGAGACTCCCCCACCCTCAGGAAGGGTCAAGCAGGTGCTCAGAAACTTAATAGTTATATCTGTCAAAGTCTAGATGCTCAACAGGCTGCCTACCTCCCTAAGTTTCTGTCACTGGCTGGAACCTGTGGGGGTGGCAAAGGGTGGCCTGAAAATCCTGAAGACACACCTGAGTGGGCAGGTAGCCTCTGACCTCTGGAACCACCTGGAATTACAGGGATACAGCATTCATAGCGTCTGCTGCACGGAGGGCTGTTCCAAGGATGCTCTAAGCAAAAGTAACCTGAGGGCCAGAGAGACCTGGCCTCCAGGATCTGCTGAGTCCTCTGAGCAACCTACATGTGAGACATTTCCTAGGCTCAAGAACCAATGGAGGCTGGGGAGGGAGGACAGGTGGATGTATGTCCCTACACCATTGGGATGGAAAGCTCTGTCCAGACATCAGAGACATCCTGGGGGTCCCTTATCCCAGGAGCCCAGCTACACTGTCCTTGAGTCACATGGATGAAACACATGACCCTGATGGTGATGGGCTTCATGGCTTGGCTGGGAGACCAGAGAAGCCCATCTCCAGGGTCTCAGCCCCAGAGCCCTCCGTTCTGTCTGAGGACCCCTGCCCTGTAGTCTTGCAAGCCTCGTTAATTGCTAGCTGGGGCTTAGCCTATTTCAGCAGGCTCCCCTTGGTTCCTCAAAACATTACGCATCTTGGCTTTTAGAATTTAGCACTGCTCAAGAATCCTGTGACTCTAAAAGTAATTGCAGCAAGGCCCTGTGCTCGGTCCCTAGTACCACAGAACAAATGGAGTTAAAAATAAAAATGACTACACTCACCCTTGATGTTGTCCTGATACTGCCACCACCTGCCACACTGTGTCCTGTGTGACCAAGCCAGAGCCCTGCTTCTCCTTTCTAAACCCAGCTCCAAGAAAAACTGAATTTACACGGCTGAGCCGATGGGCTGGTACTGGTCCCACTGGAGCCCCATAACTGACAACACTATGCATGCTGTAATCCCAGCCCTCAGGAAGCCGAGGCAGGAGGCCTGTTATAACAGTCAGCCACATGGTCCTGTACGTTGTTCTACTGACACATATAGAGGCCAACAAATCAGATGAAGAAATCTGCCATGCTCAGGTGTCTGACTTCAGCAAGGAGTGGCAAACTGAAGTCTGTCACAGCTGAGAGAAGGAACAGCAGAGCTCTCTCCGGCATGCACATGCACGTGCACGCGCACACACACCTGGGAGAGAGCACAAGGCAGACTGAGGACCTAGCAGGCTCTTCCCACCCACTACCATAGTCCTGGAGTTCCACACTAGTGTCATGGCAGCCTCAATGCAAACCTCTCTGAGAACCTTAACAAAACAGCAGAGAAGCTGCTGGCCTGGGGCCTGGGGTCTGGGGTCTGGGGCCTGGGGCCTGGGGTCTGGGGCCTGGGGCCTGGGGTATTTGAGGCTCACCTAGGGCCAAAGCAGCAAGGAAGGCGGTGATGACACTGCTCGTGCACAGCAAGGCCACCTTGGCCCAATTGAACTCCTCGTGGGATACTGTGCCCAGCATCAGGGAGGCCACTGCAGCCAGGAGCCCCACAACAGTGGCCTGCACCTGCCAAGACAGAAATCAGACCCGTGAGAAGGGTCCCTGACCACTGTCACCCTCCTTGTCCTTCTTTCTGACTTTTGGCCACCTCAAGGGTCAAACAAGACCCTTCTATCCTTCACCCTGGGCCCTGCTGGCAGTTTCCCTCCTCAGCACTTCCCTCCATGCACTCCCTGGAGAGGCCCCCTGTCCACCTCTGTCCCATGTGGGATGCCACCTGCAGGAGGAGAGCAGGGTCTTGGAGGGACACATGCCTCTGACTGGCCTCTCTTTCCCATGGTAGATGCAGACCCAGAGCAATATCACATATGCTGGCTTCACACCCTAGCTATGCTGTCCCCAGCTCACATCCTCCTTAGAGCTACTTCCCTGCCTCTGGAGCATGATGCTCTGAGCCACTAAGACCCTCACCACCTAGAGCCCAGGTCTGAACCAGCATCAAGACCCCTAATCCAAAATGTCTGTATTACCAAAGGAAGAAGGAACACAGGTAGAGCCATGTAACGTCTGTGGACAAGAGGAGCAGGTAAGTGTGTGTATGTATGCACACATGCATGTGTGTGTGCGCGTGAGTGCATGTGTGTATGTATGTACATGTGTTTGTATGTGTGTACATGTGTGCATGTGTGTGTATGTTTGTATGTAGAGGTCAGAGGATAACATGTGGAACTGGTTCTTTCCTTCCACCATGTGGGTCCCAGGGATTAAATTTAGGTAACCAGGCTTGGCAATGGAGCCATCTCATGGCTCCCATTTCTTTCTTTGAGACATGGACCTGGGCTGTTTTCACATAAGGCTGTGTGACCAGCAAGCCACAGCATTTTCCTCTCTGCCTCCCAGTGCTGGGACTGCTAGTGCACAGACCACACTGGGCTTTTTCCGCCAGTTCTGGGGATCGAACTCAGGCTTGGTGCTTGTGCGATGAGCACAGCAAAAATCCCAGATTAACCAAAGTACTCCAAGCAGATTCCCCACAAGACTCTCATGGTGTCAGATGACTCGCTCCAAAGGCACGAAGAGGAGTAACCACAGGTGCAGAGCCAAGACAATTTACTGGAAGGAGGTGGTAGGGCAGGGGTTACTGGTATATGTCATATCTAATACATTGTAAAATGTGAGTCAAGTATACTGTGGAGCTGGAGAGGCAAGAGCAGCCTGTCACAGCCAGAGAGGGACATACGGAGCCATGAGCCACAAGGGAGCCCAGACAGTGAGCACGGGAAATGGCTCTGTAAATCGAGGCTAGTGACGAAGGGATGAAGACGGTCTATCCTGGATACATGATGTCAGTGAGTGAATACTAAATAATCAGAGGAAAGAAAACTCAAGGACTGTGACCAGGAAAAAGGTGGACCCTTCACCCCCACTTTACACCCTTAAACACAAAAACCCATGGTGTGAAATAAAGGGCTATGTGATAGCATGCTTAAGAGAGTTGGAGCCAGGCATAGCTGTGCATGCCTGTTCCCCAGTTAGAGCTGTGACAGGAGGATCAAGACGTCAAGGTCAGCTATTATACGTGGAGAGCTAGCAAGAACCAAGGAAGTGTTTAAAAATATCTCTGAGCAGCAAAGGCCTTCTCTTAAAGATACAGCATAAAATCCATAAAGAAAAGTACAAAGCCAGGCATGGTGACATACACCTATACTACCTGCCACTCTGGGGACTGAGCTAAGGCCACAGGCCAAGGCCTGCCTGGGCCACAGAGTGAGTTCAAAGCCAGTTTGGGCAATTTATCAAGCCCTTGTCTCAAAATATAAAGCAAATAAGTAAAAGCAGGAGCTACAGTTAGGTGGTAGAGCGCCCACCTAGGTGCACATGATTCAACTGTCAATACTGAAAAAAAAGTATCTCTATGTAGTATAGTCTAGACAAAGTTTATATGTGATGCCCATAGGATGAAGATACCATGGAGTTATATACAGCAATATTGTTGACTTCCCTAGTTTTCAAGATTCTAAGCAGACTCTGGTAGGAAGCATGTCACCGGATGCTGGTATCCTTGATATCCAAGCACCTAGTGCTGATCATATACGGTTAATGAACAGAAAATAGCAGAAAATATTCTTTATCCTTCAGGCCTTGTGCTAGTGTTAGCTTGAATTCAGAATGCCCATGCTTTAAGTCTGGTCTTCAGCTATAGGAAAGTATGTGGACTATTAAGAGGTGGAGTTTCCTGGGAAATCTTAAGTCTTTGGGAGAGTGTACTGCACCCCCTCCTTCTAATTTGCTTCCTAGAAACCACTAGGCAAGCAGCTTTGCTCTATCAATGCACCACCATGGAACAGGAATCTAGGAAACACTGAACCAAGCAAACCTTCCCTCCATATAAATGTACTGTCTCAGGCATTTTGGCACAGTGATGGAAAACAGACTCATATACTAGGTAAGCCTACACTAAGGAGTTGGTAACGGATGTCACGAGTCTGTGAGCTGGCTCCCTTATTCACTGATGCAGGTAAAGATCAGAATGGGAGTTGGAGGTGGGCTTGAGACCTAAGCATCTTCTTCAGAGAAGCATTTGTGTGTGTGAACAGAGTTGGGGTCACAGTGTAACAGATGAGAGTGCCTGTTTGTTCAGACACTGCTCTAAGCACCTGTGCAGCGAGTCTGTGCATCACAGGGGTAACATGAGTCACAGGAAGGGATGCATAGAAAAGATCTCCGTGCCTACACGTCAGAGTTCTCTACGGGCATGTGCATGGCGGGTGGGGGACTTGTGTAGTTTTGAAGGGGTAGTTTCCGTTCTGGTAAGGTAATGGAGCAGACAGTGACTCAGCCGCTCCCATGCTACTGCTGGATATTTGGTGGGATGGTTTTCGTTTTCCCAGAGAAAAATCTAAGCCTAAAACTGGTTAGAAGGTCACATATAGCTGGAGACATGGTTCAGGACAGAATGCTTATCCAGCTCATGTGAGACTCTGTGTTTCAGTCCCAGCACTTCTAAAAGACAGACAGACAGACAGGCAGGCAGACAGACAGACAGACAACAATAAGCCTTAATGTAAAAGAGAATGTAGCTGTGCCAGCATCACCTAGCAAATAAAGACTAGGAAGAACCCAGGGTACGGCTTCTGAGGCAGAGCAAAAGGGAGGGAGGGGCTTGCACAGGATCCACAGTGGCCCTGCCACTGCCTTGCTCGGTGGCTGTCCTCAGTCTTGCTGGGGGAGTCCCTATGCCCCATGAGAAGTTACATAATTTCACATTGGGACGGGGTGGTAGTGGCTGGAGAGATGGTTAAGAGCAGTTAAGAGCAATTATGCTCCTACAGAGGACCTAGGTTCGATTCCCAGCACCCTCATGAGGTTCTCAACAGTCTGTAACACCAGCCCCAGAGGATCTGATGCCCTCTCTGGCCTCTATGGATGCCAGACATGCATACAATACACATATGTACATGCAGACAAAACAGCCATATGCATAAAATTAAAAGTTAAAGCAAATTTCATGTTGAGAATAGGTGAGTGTTTAATGCCCAGCCCTGTCCAACACTGACATCAACCTCCCCGAGGCTCAGGTGAGAGGTGGCAGAGAAACATCAGGACAGGAGGGTAGGATGAGCACTGTGAGATGCCGTCTTCTGGGTGACACGGCCACTGCGCTCACGAGTGAACTGCAGCTGGGGTCACCTGCCCAAGATCAGTCAACAATCCAGCAAGCAGCACTAATTGGATTCAGTGGTTTGCCACAAAAAAGGGGGAGGACGTGAAAGAGGGAGGGGATGTGTGAGAGGGGTCAGGAAGGTGTGGGTGGGAAGAGAGCAGACATGATCAAGGGACACTGAACACATGAGAAATTGTCAAATACTTTTAAAGTTACTTAAAAGTTTCACCATTGGTTTCAGATTTAAGTGGAAGTACATGTTGGGTTTTTTTTTTTTTTAGAAGTCCAACTATACAATTTACCTAACAACTTGTGACCAAAGTCAAACCCATTTAAAAAGGAAGATGTGAAATCATATGTAAGCTAAATCTGAGACAGTGTAAGTTAAGCCAGGCCCAGGCATGCTTCATAAGTCCTGAGGCTCACGGTAAGGAAGGTTCTGGAAAGGCAGGAGTGGTATGGCAGGTGCTGGGCCTTTGTCACCCCCTGACCTGACCTCCTGTTGTGGATCTGAGTGCTGCTTTAATTTCTCAGCTACTCAGCCACAGGCCTACAAGACTCTGTTACACAAGACTTACTCAGGCACTGAGGGCAAGAGACGCCAAGACAGGCCTGGACCAGAGCAGTAGGGTAGGAGGCACATCCACTGTGTACAATAGAGAGAGGGCTGAAGGGTGTGCATGCACTTTACCAGAGAAAGAGAGGGGATTGAAGGGCCTTACACACGGTATTCAAGAGGGAGAGGGCTGAAGGGCTATATACACACGCACACACATGCATAGGCACACACTTGCACGCATGCATACACATGCTCATGCATACACACACACATGTGCGCATTCACACTGTACTTAAGAATGAAGGCTGAGGGATGGAAAGCATTTGCAAAAGCACACAGGTTTACAGGCATGAGCTGTGAAGGAGGAGAGGCAGGGCTTGATTCAAATGCAACTCGGAATGAGGGTCTCCATAGTGACAGGATGTGAGACTAAGGGGGAGATGGTGGGTCTCCTTGGTCAGGTGGAAAGAACCAGTCCTCAGTGGGAAATGGCCAAAGGATAGTTGGCTTTCCACCAGATGTAACAAAATCTTTGAGAGAATCAACTTAGAAGCAGAGGAGGTTTGTTTTGGTTCACTGTGTAAGGTAGCAGCAGTGTATGATGAGTTGACCCCGTTGCTCTGGGCCTGTAGTACAGCAGATTCATAGAGGATGCAAAACAGGTCCCCCTCATAGCCAGGAAGCAAAGCAGAGCGATTTGGAGGCTGGGGTCCTGGTGAGGTGGTTTGTCAAATTGACACAAGCTGAAGTCAAATGGGAAAAGAAACTATAGTGGTTTAAGGAGACTGACCCCCACGGGGTCATATATTTGAATGCTTAGTCACCAGGAAGGGTAACTCTGACAAGATTACAAGGATTAGGAGACCTTGTTGAAGGAGGTGTTGGGGGTGGTGGACTTTGAAGTTTTAAAAGCCCAAGCCAGGCCCAGTTCTCTCTCTCTCTCTCTCTCTGCCTGCAGATCAGGGTGCAGCTCTCAGCTGCTTCTCCAGCACCACGTCTGCCTGTGTGCCACCGTGCCCCTTCTGTGATGATAATGGACTGAGCCTCTGAAATGACTGGATAGCAGGGTGGGCAGGACATCCACGGTACCCAAGAGAGAGAGAGGGCTGTAGGATGGTATGCACACTGTACCTAAGAAGAGAGGGTGCAAGTCCCAGTTAAATGCTTCTTTTTTATAATAGCTGCCTTGGTTGTGGTGGCTTTTCCACAGCAGTGGAACAGCAACGAGGGCAGGAACCTCAGCTGAGGAAATGCCCCCATTAGACTGGCCTGTGGGCAGGTCTGAGGCATTTCCTTTATTAATGATTGACGTGGGAAGACCCAGCCCACTATGCTGTGTCACACCTGGAACAGTCCTGGACTGGATAAGAAATCAGGCTGTGCAAGCTAGTAAGTAGTGCTCTTCCATGGTCTCTGCTTCAGATCTTGCCTCTAGCTTCCTGCCCTGACTTTCTCTCAGTGAGGGTCTATAAACTCTAAAATGAAATAAATCTTTTCTTCCTCAAGTTAAATTTGGTCATGGTGTCTGTCACAGAAACAGAAGCCTGACTAAGATACAAAGGGCGCCACAGGCAGCATTCCTCCACCACAGTGGTCCAGGTGCCTTCAGAAGAACCAGTGTAAGGAGAGGATCATGAGTCTGTCCTAACTTGTTGCTTGGGTGGGTGCCTCTGGGAGAGCCCAATATTCTGACCTGGACACAGAAAGAATAGATGACACTAATGGACAATGACACACAGCCGAGCCAGGGCTGCCCACTTGACAAATGATGTAGAGTCTGAACTCAGTCCACATCCCTTGTGCCACCAGAGGCTGCCTGCCTCAGAGAAGCTCACTAGACTCTGGACTACAGTACCGAAGAGACAGCTGTTTACCCAGCCTTCCTTCTCGCCTGAACCTATCCTGCCCTCATCTGTTTCTGCCTTGGGTCCCATGGCTTTAGTTCACTGTGAAAGGGGCCTAAGTAGACCTGAGCCCACAGAGGGCCTGGTGGGAGGAGGCATGGCATAAGAGGGGCATAACGGTCCCTGTCACAGACTGAGATAGGACAGGTTAAGCAGCAGGGGCGGGACTGATGGAGGGATGTTCCAGGCAGGAATGATCCATCAGGTCCTGGGAAGATTAAGTGAGGTCACTGGAAGAAAGAAAATGTGGGGGGGTGTCCATCTGGGGAGCACCAGTGACCCAAAGAAACACGATGTTGGTGTCACATGTAGGAAGAAGCCCACTAGCAAATGCAGGGCATGACTAACAATGAGTATACTCAGCCCCCACTAAGAATTTGGCTTAGAAAGCAGGCAGCGGGAAAGCTGCAGGGACCACAGACCTAAAGACGTCTCTGGGCAGGTATGGTGGCTACCTGCGATGCTCTTCACTGTGTCACAGATATGGTCTGCTGGATAGATGAGTGGCCATATGGACACCTGTCCTCCAAAGTCAGTCTAGAGTACACGGACTCTCCCTCTTCCTATCCAGACAGGCAGGCCACAGGTTCACAGGGGAGTGGGAGTGGGAGGCACTGAGGTGATTGATGCTCCAGGACTCACCTGAACCACAGCGAGGTTGCTGCTAATGATTTTGTACCTCTCCTGGCGGTCATCGATTTGCCCAGTGTTGGCCTAGCACACAGAGACAAGGGCAGCAGCGTCAGCCTGGATGATCTGGAGACGCCAGTCCTTCTGGACATAGCCAGACTCTCAGGAAACAAACCAGAACAGATTATGCCACTAAGCTTTCTAGACAGTGACCTCCTACCTCCCCCTTTTAACATTTATCTTCTCTCTCTCTCTCTCTCTCTCTCTCTCTCTCTCTCTCTCTCTCTGTGTGTGTGTGTGTGTGTGTGTGTGTGTGTGTGTGTGAGAGAGAGAGAGAGAGAGAGAGTATGTGCACATGTGAGTGTAAATTCCTGAGGAATCCAGAAGAGGAGGTCAGAGTCTCTGGAGCTAGTTACTGGAAGTTGTGAGCTGCCCAGTGTGGGTGCCTGGAACTAAATCCAGGTTCTCTGCAAGAGCAGGGTGCTCTCTTAACTGGTGGGTCAGCTCTCCAACCCGTTATGAATTAACCTAGCACCACTCCCTGACCCTGCTGCCACCCCAAATTTATTTTAATTTTCTGTGTATGGCTGTTTTGGCTGCACTGTGTCTGTGCAATATGTATATGTACATGTACATGTACATGTATTGCCTGTGAAGGCCAGAAGAGGGTGGAGGGTTCCCTGGGACTTGAGTTACAAATGCTCGTGAGTTTCTCTATGGATGCTAAGAACCAAAATCAGATCCTCTGGGGTTCTCTGGGCTTCTCTGGAAGAGCACCAAGCCATTTCTTCAGTTCCTGGCTGGCCTCTTTTGTGGAGAAACAGCACTATATAACTATAGTTGGAGATGCTGACATTCCACAGTGAGGGATGCACACAGCAGGTGTCTATCTCTGGCCCTTCTTCATCAGCTTTGGGACTCTTTCTCAGGCCCTTGAACACAATATACCCTGAACACACTACTGTTCTTTTCATGTGCAGGGTGCCAATGGCCACTGGAGAAAGGGAATACTCTCTGCATTAACAGGAGGGTAACAGCACAACCCCTCAGGATGCCTGGAGGAGGGGAGAAGAGCTGGCTGAGGTAGGACCTCTGTGGCTACGGAGCCAAGTGTAGACAGCTGCAATGAAAGGGGACAGGACGAGTATAAGGACAGAGGTGGTTAATGGGCCACTGAGAGCCAGCCCCTCCTTGTTGCCGCCTCAGAATCCTCCTTGGGGGCTGACTGCCCACTGAAGCGTTCCTGTGTATATGCCAGGAAGTGGTGAGGATGGTCTAGGGTCCAGGCAGCAGCATGCAGACTCTGGAGAACAGGGACACAGAAAGTCAGAAAAAGTGAAGGCACGGGGGCACTGCGCTGGTCTCTCCGCAGCTCAGGGTGGCAACAGAAAAACAGTATAAGAAGTTGGGAGAGGAGAGACAGGAACAACCTGAAAGCCACCAAAGTCCAACAACACCTGTGTGGGTAGAGACTCTAGTCCCCATCAAAGTCACTGAGAGGGGCTAAATAAAGGGAACATCCTGTCCCCAAATTGCAAGGGACTGGAGACATCGAACTGCCACTTACAGACGTGGAGAGTCGAGAGGCCAGCGTCATTTCCAGGTTTCCCTTCAGACCAACGAGGGGCGGCACCAACGTCAGCAGGTCTTTAACGTCTCTGAACACTGGCCAGTGCTGGAAGAGAAGGAAGGAGGAGCTGAGGCCAAAGTGTTGGCACAGCTCTGCAGAGCTCTGCCGAGAACCTTCAGTCAATGACTTGCACGCCCCGTGAATCAGCCTGGAAGATGGAGCAGTGCCCTAAATGTCTTATTTTATTTTGAGACAGGGTCTCTATACCTTGCCCACGGTACCCTGGAACTCACTCTGTAGACCAGGCTGGCTTTGAATTCTCAGTCATCTGCCTGCCCTCTGCATTCTGAGTGCTGAGATTAAGGCGTGTCCCGCCCCACAACTAGCCTAAACTGTTTTAAGTGAAACATAAAACAGGACATTTTAAATATCATTAACCAAATCAGCAGCCGTGGCCTCCACTGAGCCCCTCCTGCCTCCTATCCTCAGAGGCCAAGAAAAAGGCAGGACTAGACTGGAGGCCAGTGGTCTGGCCCAGCACAGCCTCGGAATGTGCCAGTGTGCAGCCACAGAGGCCTGGACAAACGCTGCAAAACTAGCTAGTAGGAGCACTTTGACAAGGTTTCTCAGTCTCTTCCCAGCAGCCTGCTGGACCCTGGGCTTTCCAGAACAGGAAAGTTCATTTGATGGAAACTCCGAGTCTCCTCAAACATGGAAACAGTAATACCTGAAAGGGCAGGGTAGCCAGGATGTGCTGCGATGGCTGGGAAAGAGAGGAGGTGTTTGTGTGATGGACCCCCTGCCTGCAACACACCAGCAGATCTGATTGTAGCAGGACCTCAATGGATTAAGATCTTAAGGTTGTGGGATTCTAGGTTCTAGGCCTAAAGATAAATTTCTTCTTTTTCTGAAGGGGGCTCTGGGCTCAGCCCCCCAGGAAAGAGTAGCTAAAGAGGCACAAACACATGTCACCTCTGGGGAGAGCAGGAGTCACCCCAGGCAGCAGTACCCTAGTCACAGAGAATGACTAGTCAGAGGTGCTACAGAAGTCTTATCTTTGTATTTCTCCACTGCGTAGGAACACAATGTAGTCTTAACGTGCATTGGTTTTTAGCGCCAAGTCTGAACACTACCCTGTTCATCCTGTTGATTCCCTCTTGAAAATGATGGTTTTGCATTTGACCACATTTACCCATTTGTTCAGATCTTTCACAGCATAGACATTAGCCCTTTAAGAAACACATGCTTTTTCCTGCTCTCAAATGAAGAACTACGTTGGAGGCAGAGGCCCACCAGCAGGGGCCCTCCTTATCAGTCCAGCTACTGCCTCCCTGTTCTTTGCAGCAGGGGCCTCAGGGCTGTGAGTCACTGCCTATCAGCCCCGCGCACTCCTCGGGCACACACCACCCACACCATCACACACACACTCCGACCCCCGGCAGTGCTGTCTGGCACACCCTGTCCTTTCCTAGCACATCCTCTGTCCCAGCCCTCACCACCATCCTCTGTCTCCCCCACAGCATGGTGCACATTCTCCCGGGCACACGCAAGGCCAAGCATCTAAGAGCCCCACATCAGAACAAACTCTGTCTCTCTTCCTTCAACTCTCCCCTCTCTCAGTGCCAGGAACTCCTGTCCAAGTTCCCATTCTCCTGGTCACAGCTCAGTGCTGTGCCCACTTGGCTACAGTAGTCTCTTCCTCAGGGGCCTGATGTGTGTGAATGGGTTCTAGCTCTCTCTGCTGCCCTCACCCCTGTAGAACAGCTTGAGGAGGAGGCCTGCCTCTGAACTTGCTCTCTACACTGCTCTAGCTCCCTGTCGGTCTCCTTAATGATTCCACCATGGCCCCATTACTTCTCCTGACCCATTCACACTTCTGATTCTCCTTTCTCTTTACACCATCTCTCTTTCAAGGCTTGAGTCACTTCTGACACCCAGCCCACCTTCCCCACAGTGCCATGCCTCATGAAGGAGGAAGGGAGAATTGACTCCATGGTCCCAGATCCTTTTTCTGATGCTACCTTGGGTTAGGGTTGAGTCAATTCTGGCCATGAAACGGACTGACAGTGCTGGGGATGGAACCCAGGGCCTTACATGTGCTAGGTGAGTGTTCTATCCTGGGACTACACCCACAGCCCTGGCCATGAGATTGAAGCCACTGTCTGAGCCTGTCAGGAATCACAGGACAAAAAGGAAGATGTGGCAGGACAACATCAACAGAGACTTAGCTAAACCATGTCCCCCAAACTGACAGGCTGCAGCCCTAACAGCACAGTGTTTAGAGACAGGGGCTCTAAACAAAGAGGGGCTGAGATAAGAAGGTCATAGGTGGGTGATCCCCAACCCTACAAGACTGGTATCTCACAAGCAAAAATTAGGGGACAGATATGCAAAGAGAGGTGACCATGTGGGGCACTGGGGAAAAATGGCATTACTGGCTTAGGATGTCAACATTGCCAATACCTGACATCTCAGACTTCTAACCCCTAGAGCCGTGACAATGTCAGCTTCTGTGGGGTACATTGCCTGGCCTCGGGTGCTCTATCACAACCCTGGCAGACTGAGGCAGATAATAAAGGGATAATGTGGATGTCCTGACCACCCAGATCCAGAATGGCTCTTTCTCTAGGCTTCTTTTGTGTGTCCTTGTCACTTTGGTCTGATGCCCTAGGCTCCTCGACAGCCCCAGGACCCTACCCACCTTATGGCTGTAAGCGGACCAGACTGGAACCTCAACTCACCATCTCCAGAGTCCTGTCTCTCCCCTGGGCCTGTCTCCTCTCCTGCCCACTTCCTGCTCTGCCTACCAGGAGTTAACCCCTTGTCCTCTTCAATCTGACTTCAAGTCATCCTAATTTTTAAATTCCGCTTCCAATCTCTCAAACCCTTTAAAGATGTCTATCCTGACACGGGTGGGTTAGGAGTGCGCATGGGAGGGCAAGGTAGCCTGTGGTACTGAGAGAGAGCCTCCCTTGCTCTCTCTTCCCCCACACTGTTGACATTGCTTCCAGGAGTGAGCTTTGTGACATAAATATAATCACGTCACCCAGTCACTTCTGACCCTGCACTGCCAACTCTACGCTTGAGTATGCACCCAACTCCAGTCATTAAACTTGTCCAAGAATGTGGCTGGCACATCACACTTCATGCCCAGCCAAACACCAGTGCAGGCTGTCAGAGAGGGGACTCTCTGGGCAGCGTGGCTAGGCAGTGGCTAGACTGGTGTCCCCTCCTGTATTTCACTGTGCAGTCTGCACCAACCAGACAGTTTGTTCACGGCTATGCTAATACTCCAGCAACACAAACGCAACATTCACTCTATAAACAAAAGGCCAAACCCCTTTGCCCTCAGTGTAAACGTTACCTCCTAGGTGGAGTGGACAGAGGGCCTCACAGCTAGCAGTGTCTCCACTAAGGACACAAGCCACCCACTGTCCTTCTCTTCACAAATGGACACCCACACACATCCACAGACCCCATGTGGGTCTCTACCTAGAGTTCACTCATTCCCACAGTGTGGGGATGGCCACATTGTGCTCCAAGGCCCACTTGATGGTCCTGCCCTGTTCTCTCTGAAGATCCCTGACCTGCAGGAGGATGAAGCTCCCTCTCCTTCATATGGGCTGCCGCACACCACCTCCACTCACTGCCCAGTCCTGACTGACAAGCTTCTGGGAGCCTACAGCAACTGAAGCGTAGAGAGGAGGGGGTGCATGGCAGGCCACGGATAGATGAGCTCACGCTGTGCAGTCTGGCAAAGCCCAGTCTCTGAGGATTAGCATGCATGGCAGCCTCAGGTAGAGGCTGAGGACACCACGGAAGCAGATTGCACAAGCTCTCTAGGAACAGACTGATCCCAGCATTCTGAAGACCCAGTGTCCTCTTCTCTGAGGTGAACAGGCAAAAACCAAGTGCCCTGGAGTTACTGATATGCATGCCCTCCAACTTCAGGACATTGGAAACAGGTTCCCAGGGAGACACTGTACATCATGGAGGAAATTCTCAGTACATGTAGGAACAGGAAACACTACCTGAGATACTCTTGTGGGTTGAAAATTAAACGTAACTGTGAAGATTAAAAAACAAAACAACCTGTCGGAGTGTCGGGGCTGTGGTGGAACTCAGTGATATGGCACATGCTGGGCACGATTCCATCCCCAGCATCACAACCACACACAAGTTAAAAAGAATCAACAGGCACATTATTCTATGACTATCCATTTGTGCATATATGCATATTGAAAATAACGTTGGCAACCACCAAATTCATGGACTGCAGCCATAACTCCCAGGACCTTCAGATGCAAGTGTCTAGAGACAGAAAGGGGGAGGGGGCTGAGTGAAGGAGGCCATGGGTGAGTGAACCCCAGTCCTCCATGACTGTTATCTCACAAGCAAGGTGAGGGGACAGATCTGCAGAGAGGGACGACCTGTGGAGGACATCGAGAAGCTGACCCTAAGGATGACCACACCAGCCCCGCCAACTCTTCACCTCAGACCTCCATCTTCCAGAACCAGAACAACTTCTGATGGGCATCCTTCCTCCATGACTGACGCTCTGTCTAGTTTTCCTAAAGAAACACTTATGCTCCCTAACCAAGGCCGGAAGTGACAGATAGTGGAATTCGCTCAATAGTCGTGTTCCCTAAACCAGACTCAGCAAATGCCCCACCAGATGGAGAGTGACACCTTATGGGGAGATCTGGGGACATATGGGACTCCCATTCCCTCCTCTCCTCTCTCTCAAGGAGCTATGTGGGGACTCTGGAGAGATAGGTCTGTCATTCATCTTTGCCTGTCACCCAGACCACAGACCACAGGCTCCTTGCTGCTTACAACCTGCTCCTCACAACTCAGAGAGGCAGGTGCCCTCAATATTCTTGATTTACAAAAAGGGGAACTGAGGCAGAGAGGCATTAAAGACTCCTGTACTGAGTAGTAGCCTTCCCTAATAAGCTCACACTTGGTGGCAGACGATAGAGGTTGCTGTGGGCTCACAAAGGCTGCCTTTGAGGGCTATCGAGTGCCATTGCTGTGACTGTTAAGATGCTGGGAGCCCAAGGTATCTTCTCACTAGCACTGCCGGTGCTGGACCCCAGCTAAGA